CATTAATTTCTAAATATATATATATATATATATTTATTATTATATTTTGTTCATCAAATGGATTACAGGTCCAAAAATGGCCCTCATTTTTCTGGGGCCAAGGCGTGGCTTTATATTGACTAACTTGGTTTCGATTAATTTCTGGACCAAGAAGTCCATTATCAAAGAGCAACAACAATTCGGCCTATATCATTCGTTTCAATTTGCAGCCTTGCCCAACGGCCAAGGCACGGACCAAGTAGTCCATCGGGGCTATGATAATTTGACCTTCACCATTCTCTTTAATTCACAATTTGAGCTTCCACGTCTGCAGAGAACTTTCCTGGGAACAATAGTTGGCTTCATCAACCATTCCATTCCTTCCTCACCTCGGTCCTTCCACGCATTTTGAATTTTTCTCTTGAACTACACGGGGTTTAAAAAGCCAATTGGTTATAAGCCTTAAAAAATGTGCACCCTTAACTTTAAGTGTTAGGTTGAAATCACTGTCCGCAAATTTGTACATGCATGTTAAAAAAAAAGAAAAAGGTTTTCTCTTCAACTCTTTAATTGCCTCTCTGGAGACGCCATGCTCTGTTGCATTAGAATTCATAGTTAATAAGGAAGAAAGCAAATCTTAATCAACAAAACTGTTAATTTGGGATACAAATAACTTTTTGATCAATGAATTGGTTGGGTATATTAACTCAATTTAAAAATTGATATATATAATTTACATAAATAAAATATTTAATTTAATAATTGATTTTTTAAAAGTATTATTTAAAATATAACGTTTTGTAGGATGTCCTCTAAAAAACGTCTTGCAAAATACTTTTTGTGTTTTTGTATTGTTGCTACAACCAGTTTTTATTGGCTCAATATTTATTCGTCGTATCAGTTGCTAAAAATTAATGAAACTAACATTAACATTTTATAACTACGAAAACTAAAATAAATTTGGTTCATGATCATATATTACATTGCCTTCACTCCAACTTGTCGAATGTGATCTCAAGGGAATGCTCAATGGAAAAGAGTTTAGAGACTTTGAGTTCAAAGTCTCATATTTGAACCTTACTCAGGAGAGATTTTTAAAAAAGGAAGAACCATCTTTTTTATCTTATAATAATCATTATACACCAACAACCTGTTAATTTGAATGGAAAAAGTTTGGTTTCTCTGAATTAAAGTTTTGAATTTGAGTTTTATGAATAAAGAAACATATGTTGGAGAGTTTTTCCTCTTGTAAGATCTAATTCGGTTTAACTTTTAATTAGTTGAGACGTACTTCTAGACATTGGGAAATTAGTAACAAAAAAATGATAATCATTATGCAACCACAAGAGTGAAATGTTAATTAAGTTGTGTCATCTTATAGCACTTGAAGAAAAAATGAAATGCTTTTATAAAAACTGTTTTGTCTAGTTTTTATTTCTGAACTAGAGTTTGAAAATCAGGATCAGACTAAGTAAAAATTAAAATTCGAAAGTATTAGGATTAGTGTTCAACCTGCAAATGAAGAGAATGAGCTAGCTTCAGACTATTAAAAACTAAAAACTGGGGTTGAATGGTTGATAGTTGATACAGGTCTTGTTGGGTCATGCCAGTCCCAAAGGTTCAAAGTGCAGGACGATAAATTAGTAGTACTTACCACTTCCATATATTTTATTCATTTGCACAAGCAAAGCACAAAGCTTTACAACTCATTTTCCATTAAGAGTAATTTAATCAATTCTAATACAGTAATTTTGAGACTTATCCTTAAATTTGATTTTTTTTTTCTTCACATGAATGATGAATCATGCCAACATACTTCCACATGTTATTAACGGCATGGTTATTGTTACAGGCCGGATCCTGCCTCTCAGAAAAATTCTCCTTCTAAATTGTGGAGGTAGACAAATAATTATTATTTAAGTTCTACCATCATCATAAATCAGTTTTCAGTTAAAATTAAGTTTAAATGATAAATGAATTCTTGAC